CAGAGACATTACTGAGCAAACATGAAAGTAAAATGTAAAATGAAACTCTCAAAATAGTAATGGGAACCAAATATACGAAGGCAACATCCGTGGACACAATATTTTTGAAAGAAAGACAAAATATAGTGGGAAGCACAGGAAACATTCTCAGCGATAAAATGGTGCAGCTTCCATCTTTCACTGGCCCCAAAATGACCTCGTGAAAATAATCCCTTGCCTTATAAAATACAAGGATTCTTGTTGAATCTGATACCAGTGTACTATTCAATGGCCGATCTAACAGTGGGCTCAAGTACCGTGGTTACCATTTTTAGTAGTTACAAATGTCATTTTTCATCTTTCTATGGAGTTACTGAACCAGTGACCATAGCAGTGGCTGGGGCCAATTTTATAGCAGTGCTTAAGCGAAAAATTTGTTTAAGCGTGAAAAAACCTTGCTTGAAAAATCAGGTTACCAGGCAAAACTTCTTGCGATGTATTTTGTTTTGGAATGGTATTTACCATTTTGGTTGGCATGACCACAATCACAGAGTTCGAGCTGGCAACCTTTGTTTATTAAGCAAGGTTTTTCCATGCTTAGGCAAATCCTGTGCTTAAGCGGCTCTATGAAATTGGCGCCAACTGATCCTAATTGTTTGCCGAAAACACAGTTATTGAAATCCGTGCTATTTTTACCAGGGGAACAACCAGGGTTCATTCATGCCATCCTCCCCCCCAAAAAAACCTGCCATTGTATGCAAATAAAGCTATTTTGCTGACACGGCGAGAAATATTTTCCCTGATTTCCTCTATTTTATTTTTGATAGGTTTTGGAACATGTGGTTTTATGTATACGTGGTGCCCTGTCAACGTCCTTCATAACACGAAAGGTAACCCGGACAACAGCAACTTTATTGTCAACAGCATTTGAATATAAATGTTTGCAAGCTACAAACTACAAAAAAAAGAAAACAAAAAAGATGCTAAATTTTTAGCCTGCCAGTGAACTACACCACATACATGTACAAAATGTGGTTGGAATATGTTACTATGGAAACTGCTTCAGCCAATAATCTCTGAAACTGTGTTCTTGGCAAAGAAACAGGTATGGATAGAGTGTCATAGAGTATCATAGAGTATCAAATGTCCGGATAAATCCTGCCCAACCTGTCAGTAAAAACCCCCAACATTTCCAAGTCAATGAAAGTAAACAAGAAAACTCCTACAGTGGGTGTTTTTCCCCATAAACTTCACTCAATACTGCTGTCAGAAGGACTCCTATATGGTACATGTCTTTTTCAAGTCTTTGAAAACTTACATGTACATGTAGAAACAGATTTCTTTTCATATTTGCCTGTATTTCACTGAAAAACTTCACATTCAAACTCTTCTGACAAGAGAACCAAGAAAATTTAAATGATTACTTCCAACATTTATTCATTTTCTTAAGTACACGTAGGCCTACATATACTACATATTGCAAATCTTTACTCTCACAATTTGTGTCAACTTCAACCAACAGAGGGCTCACTTCTAATTCTGCAGAGCTAGTGGTAAGGTACCATGGGTGCAGACTACTAATTCAAATGAGAATTTCTGGCCAGCTCATTAGCATTAAAAGTGCCCCCGCAGTATCTTTTGAAAAAGGAGATTGCTTGGCCCCCAAAATGGTGAGATTGTGTAAATCACTGCCAGGATGAACTCCCTGGGTCTTTGAGCTTTCATATGAGAGCAGAATGGCTCAAAACTGCGGTTGAAAAATGGTCCTAAGTGCCCGAGAAAGTTGAGGGTTGCCACTTGAAAAATGGCTGCAATCGGACTTCAGAAAAAGCACTTTTCAGGGGGGGGTTGTTTTGTGGGAATAATTAAAAATGTAATTGGTTTACCCAAAAAAATTGAAAAGAAATTGAAAGATTAGGGACCAGACAATAATTTCATTTGTGTTTCTGAAATCTTTGGGATATTGGTACATGTATGCATATTATTTGGCCCTGAACAGTGCTGATTTTACACTGTTTCAAAGGGGCTTGAATTAGTGGACTGTATCCATATGGTATCCTCCCTGACATTTCTCCATGCACAGGAACCAACTGAAATATTGTTGTTCTTTTAACCCTTTAAGTCCCACGCAATGCAACAGTAGCTAGAAACCATCTTCCTCAATCTTACAAAATGCTGAATGACCTCTGTAGGGAAATTGAAGAAATGGGGGAGGGGTTAGAGATCTGTAGGACATGTTCACAACTGAAAAAAAATTACCAATTTAAGGCTTAACAATTAGTGGACATGCACAAAATCACCATATAACTGTACTGTAAAGTCCACGTTAATGGAATGATTTGTAAAACCAAACAGCAAAGTGATCTCATTTTTAAACTTTGAGAGAAAGCAAGATTGTCAGAAGAGTTACATACGAGACACCTTACAACAATACACTGTTCTCAATGGAAACAAAGGGCACAAAGGAACCAGTCCATTCCAGAGATGATGGTCACTAAGCAAAAGCTTGCCTCGAATCACAAGGTATAGCAACAGCGTCTTTAGTCTGGGAAACCATCCTCTGTACAAGTTTGCAAGGCATGATCAAAGACAAGTATCCATCTAAAGTCACTGAATATCTACTTTTTCTCATGTGCAATAATTAATGTGCCTGATGATTGTTTAGTCATTCCCCATAGCCAAATTGCTCTAGACCAGCGATGGAGGGTCACCAGGGCATAACTTTATCTTGCTACTAAGGATTTCAGAGTGAATCTGCCACCTCGTGATACGACTGTTGAGGTGTGTTGGGTTTATCACTGAGCAGTCTAATGTCGGGTCAGTGCGTTGATGCTCAACCAACCACCAGCCCCCTTCAAGAGTGCAAGCACAATGACCACCTTCAAGAGAGGTTGAGAACTCGATGAGAAATCCCACAGTTAAGAGGACAATTGACAAATGAGGGCTTCCACTGACGATAAAGTCGGCAAGACAGATGGTTTTCACCTCCCCATCACCATGGAAATGCCACACTCCACTGCTGATATTTACCAATTTTCACAGTAGATTAAAGTTTCTAATCAAGATGAGTGGTGCGAACAGGCAGGCAAGGAACTTGAAGGAAGACAACCAAAGCCAATGGAGGAGCATATTGCTCTGGTCTTGGCGCTATAAATGTATTTTTAGAACACAGAAAACAGCAATCATGGACATCATGAATATCCTCCCAGCCAGTACAAAGAGAATGGGAAGAAGTGTTTCAAAAAATCCTGACCGTTACAAAGTCTTAATCGTGCTCAAAAATTTGAATTTTGAAACAAATACAATTGAATACAAGCACACTTATAAAAATTCTCCCGAAGTGCCATCGAATCCACGGTTTCAAAACAATGTAGTGCATTATCTACATGAACATCTCGATCTGAAGCCAGTATCTAACTTTACGCTAAGGTAGCAGACAAGACCCTTGTGACTTGAACATTTGACCAAAATACAATGCAAAACAGTTACTTTTAAGGAGAAACAAGGTACATGTAAGTCATCTTTTTTATTTTAACCACTACAATGACAGCATTTGGCACATTGGCAGTCTCAGTTGCTTTTGTGTGTGAATAGCAGTTTACATATCCATTAGTTATGTTTTCTCTCTCAAGAGGCAGGGTCTACTCAAACCATACCTAAATCTACAAAACAGTCAAAATTTCTTATTCTTAAGGCAGGCATTTTTCACAAGTACGTTCTTAAATCTGCAAAATGTTTAACCAAGGTCAACAGTTTTATACATGTGAATAATCCAAGCGGTGTCACATACATTGAGCAAAAATATTGGCTATAATTTTGTGTGACCACTTTCCTTTGCACATTTTCTGCGACTTTTCTTTCTGCACAGCTCATGCTCAGTCTTTTTCTTTCAACCATCACACTGTAACAAGTGCTAGCGAATATCCAGTGAGGCTTGAAGTCCAAATTAAAGCTAGCGAGGAACTAGCAGCCAGTATCCATGGTAACTGAAAAAGTCATCAATATTTGGTTGAAGACCAGTGCGAACAACACAATAAATACACCTGGCAACACACTACACCCAGTCTATGCTGTTTTTGTCGAGCTTGGTAGGAATACCCCTCTTCCCCGACTGACCAAAACTGAAAACCATGATGACCCGGGAGCAGTATCTACTCTTGTTGATAAACTCTTACCTGGTGACCTTGGCCGCAGGGAGTCCCTGTTCCCTCGGACAGGTGGTAGATCCCGAGATGGGGGGCAAGCTGCATTGGAAGTTGGCCACTCGTGACCCTTGCACCTGCAGTCAGATTCAACTGGGAGGACTCAACACTCAGATCGTGTGGAGCCAGGCACTGCAGCCAGCAGTTTCTTTCACTGACCAGGAGCCTCCCGTGCACTCCAGTGATGCCGAAGATGTAGGCGTGTCCTTTGGCTGTGATGAAAAAAATAAATTACAAGTAATAACCTATCAGGTTAGTTCTAGTAAGTTGTTTTCATAGCCACACAGGTTAAAATTGGAAACATTCATTTACTTTACATACACTGCATGTAGTGTAGATGTTTCTTTTGTGAAAATTACTTACATTTATGAACACCCTTTGAATCAAAATTGTTCATAAAATTTCCTTGAGTGTTCCTGTTTATTTTTTTTTTTGGTGGCTGTCTACTATATAGCCCAACCTTCACAAAAAATATTTTCCAGAGCTGTATTAACATGGACTCTATCAAATTTGAAACTTCATACATCTTTTATCATGTTCATATTCCACTTTAGTCTGAGCACCGTGAGTAGAATTCCACAGATTGCCTCTTTTAAACTTCTGGTCATGAATATCAAACCAAATGTTCAGAGGTGCTTTGCAGAGCCCTGTTACCCAAACTAACTCCATTATCGCTTCGTTGTGAAAAGCTTTGTAATCTTCTATTGTTTGTCAAACTGCTGTTACCAGTATTTCGCTTTCAGCACCACATACCTGTGCCTTACAGAGTGCATGTAATTTCAATTTGTGCATTTGTAAATATGGTATTGTTGCCTTACTTTATTTTATCATTTTGTTTCTTTAATCTTCGGAATGCATTTGATCGTCAATTAAACACCACTGCTCTAAAAGGGACTCACATAAATGTATAACCAGCCTTGCATTTTGTGGGGAGGTCCCTCCCATCTTTAGCTTGTCAGTTTCCAGCTTTGGCCGTAGCACTGGTCTATTTATATCTCTGACTATTGTTATATAGACTGTGCGACTAATGCACATATGTAACTTCTTCAAAATCTTAAAGGGTCCATGCAATGCAATTATTTTTATTATTATTATGGTGTTTTTAGTAAATCATCATAGCAGCCAAAAAGGCTGAATTGCATATGATTTCCACAAGATACATTGCAAAACAAGCAAAAAATTTTAATTAGTATTAAGTAAATAAACCAAATATAATTACAAAAATATACATGTATACTGTACAAACAAGAAAGCCAACACGTATTTAAAACCATGAAACAAGTGCACGCTGCCCCCCAATAATGATTTTCACAAAATACATTATGAGAAAGCAAAAACATGAATTAATATAAAGTAAATAATCTGGATATAATTACAAAGACATATGATATTCAAGAAAACACTTTTAAAACGATGAGCCAACAAGTGCACCCCCTCCCCCTGCAAGTGATTTTCACAAAATACATTACAAAACAGGCAAAAGTAAAAATAATACAAAATAAATAAACCAATTATATAATTAAATATTTTAATAATTATATATTTAAACGTATATATATTATATAATTATATATATTCATATATATTATTTTACTACAATGGCACCTTTCCATATGTACAACGTCCCTTTTGGGGGTGTGTTGCAAACACAACGTGTTCAATGCATTTCATTTTAACAGAAACACGAATCAACACCACGTGTGAGATGAGTTTGGGTGTCAAACTTGCCGGGAGTGATTTTGACAAATATATGTAGTACTTGGTGCAAGTGTTGACGTGCATATGGAAAGGTGCCTTAACCCTTGAGAGAATACACCTTTGTCTGTCAAGCTTTTGGTGCCTTTTTGATTTTTATATTAATGCAAATTTCCATAATTTCAAGCAAAAAACTGTAATGTCATCTCAGGATAAAAACATAAATGTAGCATTGATTCGCACATAAAATTCTGACGGAAATTGTGGTACACATATTTTACTGGTCCAAATTTCCTTTTCTTTGATGGTTCATTGTAACTCTGAAAGCAATGTTTATAAATACCGGTAAGTCAACAAACAACATTTTGCCTGGAATATTTTCAATGAGCAAATTTTGGGCTCACATTTGATCAGAAAAAATTGTCTTCCCTCAATGACATCATGGCAACCCTTAGTTTCAAGAAAAGCTCGAGCAATTCTGTAAGCTTAAAAACGTGTACTTTTCAGTACAGCTAACCCCAAAAGATGGCAAATAGTTTCATATGATTAAGTCTAGTATAAAAGTGCTTAAAAGAGTATTGGGGAAAATTTCATGACATGAACCCTTTGTATGGATAAATACATGTACAGAACCTTTGTAGACAATTGCAGACTGCTTACGTATCTCCAGTATTCCCTATGGACAAAAATAAGCTTTCTGCATATACATGTACATCAATCCCCACTGACTGAATTAAAGATGGTTACTTTTCTACAATTTGCAGGTAAGTGAGGCAGATCCTGTACTGACTTACGAACTGCCCTCCTTGCTAAACTGCCAACTCCTGATGGAAGAGGGCTACAGCATCACTGGTGTCTACCGAACAGTGGTACCCAGCTTCGTCGACGACCAACCCGTAGAGTTGTACTGCGACATGGCGACCGAGCCCGGAGGCTGGACGGTTGTCTTCCGCCTCCAGGACAACTCGGTCAACTTCACCAGACCGCTGGAGGACTACAATGAGGGTTTTGGGGATCTGACCGGTGAGTTCTGGCTGGGGAACGAGAGGATGAGCCGGCTGATTCATGGGGTCGAAGACAGTGTGGTGAACTTCCAATGGGAAATCCAAGTTGACTTGTGGGGCTCTCCGTACGGATTGGAAGAGTCCTTGTGTGCACAGCCTACTCTCCACTATTTTGCCAGATACAGCTCCGTGTCCATACAAAGCCAGGAATACACACTAGTCGTCAGTAATTACACGGGGACTAGTACTGCTGGCGACTTTCTCAGTTCATTCAACGGTGGGGCTTTCAGGGTATTAGAAGGGGGAGCTGGCTGGTGGTACAAGGAGAATAAACCTGTCTATCTGCTGACTGCAAATGAATGCTACAATGGGGAGCGTTGCTATATGAAAAATGCTTGGGAATCAACAGTACTGCAGCGTATTGCTCGCTTTCCCTGCCTCTGCAAGAGTGAAATGAAAATTCGCCCTATCAATACCCACATTTAAAAAAGTGCACAAATCGCGAAATGCCGCCAACGTTGTTAGACACAGCACATCTCATGCGCTCTTTCGAAATGCTGTTGTGGAGTTGCATACTGGTGGATATCGTTTAATTCACAAAACAACCTCAAAACAAGGGCACAAACTGTTAACAAGTTCAACCCGGTATCATCAAATTTGAATCAGACGTACTTATGTTTTGTGGGGGGAGGTCCTTATTCCTTGTGGGGCCAAAAATGGTGAACCTTTTTTTCATGTAAGGGAAATACAATATAGACCAAAAAATCAACTCTCTCTTGATACTTTTTTTTTAATGGCACGGGGGGGGACTTATTTTGGGGGCTGTGGCCTCTGTTGGCAACACTCAACAAAAGAACAATACCCTTAGCAACTAAAGTACTACACCATGGCAACCAAAGTGCTGCATGTGTTTGACCACAGGCATTGTGTGCAAATGCATACTGGTGTCCACGTTGCACATAATCTGAAGTGTTCGTGTAGCACAGCTGGGTTCAGGCATTTCATGAAGACGCAGTTTGGAAATGTGCCAGTACATTTTCAACAAATTTCTAATTCAAAGACATGTAAATGTATGTACCTTTAACACATGTATGCATTTAGATCAAATTAATCAGTTATTTCTTAAATTGAGCAGAATCTGTTCGAGAGGCATTATAAAGCAAATACTGCCCTCTAGTGGTGAAGTAAAACTAGCCTCCTGAGGTGATTCCCCAGAAGTAAATTTAGGCCCACAGGCTGGGAGGTTCAGGGGGTTTGAAACCCCTCCCCCTTGCTTCTGAGTTCTCTCGTTTGGTTTTTTTGGGGGTTCTTTATTTATTTTCAATATTATAATGTTCATACCATTTGATGCTGTGTTCCAAGGTACATTATGGTAGGCCTTTGTATACAAATGTGTTCACAGTGACAAAAGTTCCATTTTTGGGTTTGACGAACCCTGGAAGTCTCTGGTCAGGCAAAGGGCCTGGAATGTTTACTACACTATTTGAAGCAGTCAGTATTTTATACCAGCTATATGCCCCAAGCTTTGTGGTTCAAGTCTAGGCTCAACTGAGCAAACTTTTGAATTTTTTTTCCAACAAGCTATACAGGAGGAAAGCACAGAGCATGCAGAGCTTAAAAAATTACATGTATACGTTGTACGTATGTTGCTTAACTGGTACCTTTTCTCCGTACATTCTGTATGTAAGCACAAATTGTTGTTGCACATGGCGCACATCTTAAAATTGATTGATCTTGAAAAATAAAAGTAATTTATTCAAGATGTTCACTGTAATTCAGTTTATGGCTCATTAGTATGGATTTTCCAAGAATTGTTGAAATTGTATTTTGTAGCTAAATGTATTTTGCCCACTGCCCAGCATGGGGAAGGAGAATGTAAACCAATGAAATTCACTTTAAATTTCATTATTTATTCGCGTAAATACACGGATCGAGTTTGCGCAGCCAGTTCTTGACACGGGTTTCTTATTCGAACGCTCGAATGACGGGAACGCGACTCAAGAGCACTGTTCTCGGAACAGTGATTCACACACCACCTCCTCAATCGTCAGGCTTTTGCACGAACACACGGAAAAACTCATGAGATTTTTATTTTTGAACAACTGCAAAAAGTAGAGAGAGGGCTTATATTATAAAGCCAGAGACAATGGGAAGTTCTGTAAAATTAACATAAATTCTTTTCCTTAACACGGAAATGAATGTTCCTGTTTAAATAGAAAAGAATTCAGCCCAGTCATCCAAGCATTAACTCTTGAATAACGTACATGGATGCCATGTTGCTTACCACCAGTTGTTTGTTCTTGGCATTTTAGCAGTCGACCCTCGAATAACAAATCGAGCTGTTCGTGAACATACAAGAACAAGCCACCGGAACTCAGCCACAAGTGTGCATTGTACAACTTTAGGAATAGTTCCACATGCGTGGTGATGATTTGACAGTATCTTATCATTAAATGTATATTTAAACCAAAGTCAAAACTTACGTAAATTTTTAAAAGTTAGAAATAGGGAACACATGTTGACCGTGATTTTGAGAGTAAAGCTTTCTTTTAGTGTCCAATTTCTCAGGCTCAGAGCACACCTGAAGACATCACAATCACCTGCGTGAAAGGGCGTGCTAACCTGTTAAACTTATGGAAGCTTTCATCTGTTGAGAAATGTAGAGTTGAGAGGAAGTTAGACTTTTGAGGTTTGGTTACTTGCAAGTGTTTGTCTCCTGTGTGTATTACATCTGGATGCCTTTAACTAGGCACAGTCTTACAATCAGTCTAAAGATGTTGAAGATACTGAGAGCTTAATGGCACAGGCAGAAAACCAATAGGGGTCCTATAGATTAAATTTTTAAAAGATATTAACAGAAATGCAAAATTACATACCAAGGTCAGACAAAACGAGGACAGTTTTGCTTAATCAAAAACAAAATGTTTGAAACAGGGAATATTCACGTACTGCGCTTTGAAACGACAGCTATCTCATCACAGTAATTCCCCTTTGCATCTCTCCTGCTCCAACCACACCTGATAATATACTGTAAGGAGACTATTACAGTCCTTACTGATCAATAATGCAAGGACTCACCTGCACAAACAACATGGGGATTGGAAACATTTGAAATAGCACATGTAGTTTTAGGTATGAATTTTGTCTTTTGTGAGGAAGTGTGTGGATGTGGGTATAATATTTCTTCTGTCTCTCTTTTTTTTTTTTACAATTTTAAATGGACTGTACATAAGTGATGATTCAAATTCTACTTGGGATAAGAAAGATATGAGACCGTACTGTTTGTGATGGAATAAAGTTTGTTTGGAATTGCATTTCATTGTATTGTACAATGAATGACGTAGCAATGTTTTGACTTTAGGTCACCGCTTAAAAAGTTCTGTTTCCCATCATGCCATCTGCAGACAAGGTACATGTAGGTAGGAAGAAAAAGAATTTACTGACTAAAAAGTACTGATAAAATGATTTCAAGACCAAAACAACTACAAGACTGAAAAAAATGAACACCACAAGTCTAAAACTTTAAAAGGACTACAACCGACACAGTGTGTCAAAATAGATCTAATGAGGAGACTGTGGCTTCAATCACTGACTCTTTAGAAGCAGACAGAAACCGGACTCAAGCAGAAAAGCACACTCCAGTGAGGAGGAACAACATTAACAGTATTTGTCTCTGCTGGTCTGCTCTTCAAACTGAATGTGGTCAGAGCATGGGGTCAAGTTATCTGGGTTGGAGCAAGGTCCAAAGTGAATAAACAGGGGGATACACTCACAACAAAATACAGGGAACACTAAACTAAAAGTGTGTATTTTTATAGGGGAACTACTCTTATAAAAAGACGCTTACAAAAGCTCTAACAAGTTTCGAGCTCTGCCACATTTGTATGGGGATACCACGGCTACTCGACGTAGACAGTAGGCAAAGTTGAACCTGGCTCAACTTTGGCGATCGTTTGCGGGCTGTGTTTGTCTGCGTTGTCGGCGACACCTCTGATGTTTCCATACATCTGCATTGGAATTCGCATCTTGACAGGGTTGCTCTCTGCGTTTCTTACGTCGACGTGGAAACCAGGCTTAACTTTGCAACACCAATCAGCATTGTCTTCACTTTGAGAATTTTACCTTGAAAACTGCCCGGAGTGCCAATGAAATATGACCGGCCCTGGAAATGGCAATTACTGATAGTTCTGTCAAGCAATTTGTTCACGTTCTGATTGCTCATTAATTTTCTGAAGCCACAAAGTGTATTTAAGGTTTTGTTTGCCAAGGTTAGTTCCATTCCCATGCAACCGTTCATCAGAGTTCACTTCGTACTGCAGAATTCTCAATACTGAGGAACTGTACTTGAGTACCATATCAGAAAAGTGATGGCAAGGTGTAGTCTATTTCACCTGCAGAATTCTCAATACTGAGGAACTGTACTTGAGTACCATATCTGAAAAGTGATGGCAAGTCGTGGTCTATTTCACCTGCTGGGACTGCTGATAGCTGGTAATGCTGTGGTAACAGTCGCGCACGTTTGCTATGCTGGGCAGGACTTTGGGGGTAACAACACCAACCCACGGTGGGTAATCCCTCAGCCCCAGCCTTGCAAATGCACTCAGGTCTTGCCTGGTGGTGTAAATGTTGGGCTGACTCAAAAGGGTCGCTTGACCCCAACTTCAGGCTTTGAGAGTGCCAACTTTGCCACCAATGACAAAGGCAGGATCGTGACTGCACTGCCAGAATGCGGGAATTCATCATCAGAACCTGAAATGCCAACCCCCAAACAGAATGGAAGAGGCTCCTTGGAAATCTTCCTTCCTATGTATGAGGAGCTCGATCAAAATCAGCAGTCAGTCTCAACACCACCCAGCACTCCCAATCCTCATGGCTCTAGCACACTCAACCCTGGGAGGTACCTTTACTGCCAAGACTTCAACAATGACGGCAACACTGGATACGTCTTGACTAGAATCTACCCCTCTGATTTACAAGGAACAAATACTGGTGTCGCTGCCCTCTGTGACATGGAGAGTGACGGCAGTGGCTGGATTGTGTTCCAGCGAAGTGGCTACCAGGGCTTAAGTGCACTACAGTGGGATTTCGATAAGACCTTCGAGGAATACAAGAATGGCTTTGGCAGTCTCCGGGGCAACAACTTTTGGTGGGGCAACGATCACTTGGCTAACATTACTCAAGATGGCCAATGGGAGCTGCGTGTGGACATATGGTGGCAGCAAACCTCTACCCTCGGTCAAGCTGAAGAGTTCAGACGTGCTACATACGCATCCTTTGGTGTCTCCGGCCCGGGGTACACCCTCTCTGTGAGCGGATATCAGTCCTCAAGCAACCTCTCCGACGTCCTGAGCAATCTTAACGGCATGGAATTCTCAGCCCGGGATGGAGGACCCCAAGCAACCTGTGCGGAAATCTCGGGAGGTGGATGGTGGTTTGATCAATGCGTAGACTGGCAGGCTAATCTGAATGGCCACACTGCTTGTGTAGGGAATGACTGCAATTCAGACAGAGCATCTTCCAGCAAAATGAAGGTACGTCGGGTGAACAAATAAACTTATACAGTGTACATGTAGACACACTCAGACCCTTTCTTTTCAAGAAGAACCAGAATTCATTAAAAAGTGGTCACATGGATTCATGTGCTGGTCTTATGGGGAAAAAATGCACTAGCAGTGGTCCGTCTACAGTATCTTCACACATCTAACACTTATGACTTAAAACACACAAAAGTTGATTGAAGTCCTACAAAGATACCTTTGTAAATAGCTGGCACATAGATTGGCACTGTTGCTGATGACTGAGTAGGGCGTACAGAACACTTCAATTGGGCCCTCTTGGAACCAACATGTGAAGTGAACAAAACTCAATCGAAACTGGGCAAAGAAAATCCTATCAATTCAAAATTTTTTCAATTTCAAAAGCCTAGCTCAAGAAACAGATTTTCTGGTTTATTTATGCTTGTAATAACGTTTGAAAATCATATTTTACCAGCACATATGATAATCGCTTTTAACATCGTGTAGTTAGGACACAGTAGTAGTTGCTACAAAGATAAGATGGCACACAGGGAATCATGTGGAAAATGAAGGGAATATGCTAACTAAACATAACTGTACATACATGCATGAAGAGTACTTGTATGTTATCCTATAGGGTTTTATCACTGTCTTGTTACTGAACTTCACGAAGTTGTGTGTCATGGTACCGTAGACTAGCTTTGTAATTTGTCAATTTTAAACCATTCATTTGTGCACCAATTTTTCCAATTCAGTGATTGCATTAAAAAAATAAAAGCTTCCCCAACCCAAAAGGAAAATGCTGTCACGTACCACAGTTCTTTTCTCCCAGCCACCCACCCGTCTAACCCCACCCACCCCTAACAACCCCCTACAACCATATTCAAGAAAGTGCCATATCATTCCCCGAATCTTTTTATAAACTGTGCAGTGGTATGGTGCCAGACTGTTTTATGACTGGTGTGTTCCAAGCCTCACCTTAAGTTCTTTTTATAATCTGGCTTAAAAAATTTACGCTCAATCACAGTTTTAACTTATTGTCCACAGTAAACAGGTGCCATTCGTTAACCAAAATGAAGAGATAAACTCGCTGACTCATGAATAAAGTCTGTGGCCATTCATTCAGATTGACAGACCAAATTAGTATGCACATACCAAATGTCCTGTGTCCCACCCATGCCCTCCCACTACCCATCATCTACCAAACCAATACTAGCTCAGTGTCAATTAAGTTCTGTAGTTTAAAGTTACGATGTAACAACTGTTTGGCATGTTTGGGGAGGGGGGGGGCAGAGGGGAAACACTAGCTTCAGAAGGTGAGGCTACGTGACAGAAAGCACCGATTACCAATTGGCTGTATCTGCTGCCAGATTTTCACTGAGTGATGGCAGCATTCCAGTGGATACTACAAAAATCTCCAAAAGTCGCCTACAAAGGATCATTGGAGGCTCTTTCCAAGATTTCATTTGGCCACTATCTGGTCATAAATACATGTAGCTCTGTTCAGCCTAATCTTGACTCTTGCGCAAATTAACTGCACTCCCTCCTAAGTTGATTTGCCTCTGAATGAAATTCATTTGTAAGATAATCAACTCAGAATGGAGCACAATAAATTTTCACAAGAGTCAAGATTGCGCAGCGCTGAAGAGCTCCGTGGTCACTAACACTGGCAGATTTGTAAAAACATATCTTTAAAGACTTTATCCTTGATGAGATGCTAAAATAAAGAAAGAACAGAAAGGGGAATACCGAAGTTTGGGCACATTAACAAAATGAATGCGTGAAGTCGCATGAGAAACATGGGGCAGGTACTTGTACTACTTCTAGTCGTAGGAACTTTATTTGCAAAGCATCGGCCGGCCTGTCCACTCTGTTTCAGTTTAAGGACAGGTTTCAGGTTTGACAACGTGTAATTAAATCACGGCTAGTACAGGGGTTTAAAAAAAGAGCAAAGATTGCTGCACTTACCAAAATCTACACACTGACTCGACTTCAGTTTACATGTATGTCTGGAACATACAATCTAATTTTTTACTTGCTGAACTCCATAGAGTGACTTGGACCTTTTCAGTCAACTCCAGCCACTGCAGCATGTCCAATCACTAAGTTGTAAAATTACACAACACTGAAGAGCGCCACCTATACTTGAAGCAAACTCCGTGGGAAAATGAGCCGTTTGTGGATTTTGGAAACCACAAAGCAGGTCATGATTTTTGTAATACCAGCATGTATTGTCAATGAAAAATTGGTGAAATGCACAAGGGAATCCCTACGAATATTTCAAATAGATAAGAACAATTACAACTTCATTCCATGATCCAAAATCAGAGCACGAATGAAACATTTTCCCTTGTGAAATGTCAGCAGTGAGAGGTAAGGGATATAAAAGACAAGCCTTTTCTTCTCTTTTAGTAACCAAATAATGGTAAGACTTGTGGCACTATTATGATGGAAAATATGAAGCAAATGTGCTTACAATTAAGTCTGCAAGTGTTCATGCCGAGGGAGTCGATCTTAGACCGGTTGTGACAGAGAACTCAGCCGGGATTTCTCGTGGCCCACATTTCTGCCAACACCATGGCCACGCGAGCTTCCCAAGTACTTGTTATTCCTTGATTTTTTTAAGCAGCATATTCGCCGTTTGATCAAGGTGTCAGACGTCGTTGCTTAAGTTTTAAAATATGGTTTAGATACCCAATTTTTTAGAAGTGCAATTTTCACACAATTTCTCTGTGAAATGATGGAAGTTTCAAATATCCGAGCGAAATCTTACGTCACAGTTTTCAAAATTGGTTTTATTTATCGGGCGTATTCAACAACCAAAGTCGGAAGAAATGCAGTATAGGCAATACCGACCGATAAAATATTGTTCATTGTTGAAACTGACATGAAAGTTGTTGGTGATGACAACTGGCGAATGCTTTGTGTGGTCGTTTTTTCCTCTGGGAAAGCACAAAAACTGCGGCTCCTGGGCGCCAAAGGTGTATGCACCAGCATCCTTCACATAATTGGGTGATTTCTCCTACGTACGCATAGACGACCCAAACATTATTAACATGTAGTTCGTGTCAAAATACCGCTAAATGCAAGAAACCGCTATTGCGGGCACGGTTGTTTATTCAAGCATTGTGCATTTGTTTTTGTTAAACCCCGGGCAATATTTCCACGTAAACCGCCAACTTCAGTGAATAAAATGGCGGACGGCGATAATTTGACTGCTGCCGAGCAAGTTGCACATGATGCTGCTGCAAAATCGAAGCAAAGGAGGAAGAGAAGACCGTCTGCGATCGGGCCGGTGGCCAAGCCCAAGTTCAAGGAGATGGTGGAGGAGGCCATTAGTGTAACCCAAGACAGCGGCGGGTCCTCGCTGCAGGCGATCAAGAAGTACCTAGCGGCCAACTACGGACTCGACAGCCACAATGCATACATTCGCAACGCCATCAAGAAGGGGGTCACCCGAGGGGAACTAATCCAGGTGAAGGGGTCCGGGGCCAGTGGGTCCTTCAAGCTGAGCTCGGCGTCCGCGGCCAAACCGGCCAAGAAGACCAGTCGGCAGAAGGACTCGGACAAGGTCCGGCAGGAGAAGGACGCCAAGTCAGCTCGTGAGGCGCAGAGGATCGCCCGAAACGCCACGAAGGCTCGGAAAGAGCGGAAGGCCAAGCGCGGGACCCAGGAAAAACAGAAGAAGCTGAAATCCAAGCCGTCCAAGGGGACGAGGAAAATCAAGACTCACAAGAAAGTGGAGAAGAAAAAGAAGACAGCCAAGAAGACGCCCAAGGCCAAGAAAGGGTCGATAAAGTGACTTGGGCCTAAAGGAGATCACAGTGATCGGAAAATTTTTGCATGGCTCATGAACAGCCTGAAATTGTAGACTCATCTGACCGTGGAGGAAGGAAACATCCAAAGAAGTTTTCTTTCGATGACATCGACAGTACAATGCATCATATATCAATCCTGGACAGAACACATATTTCTGTCTGTTACGGGCAGTCTAGTAGAGATTGTACAGAAAACATCGTTTCATGTACTTGAGAAAACTTTCATAGAAATTTTGTCACTTGGAAAATATATGCATGTTTTTATGGCCTTTTAGCCAGTCAGTGTTGTAAAATTATGTGCAGAGTTGATACGAAAATTGCTGCTGTCTGACAACTTGTCAGGATGTGCATGTATGATTAGGGTCAAGGTAACAATGTGCTGTCATCTTGTCGGTTCAATAACTCATATTTTCCCCCCACCTCAAACCCAGATCCACTTTTTGACTACTGTTCATTTCTGTCGATGACAATGCAACCACACAGGCACGACTGCTGTTTCATTTATACAGCTTCACCTTTTTTTTAATGTGCAGCTCATGCAGGTCATGTATATTATGAAAATGTATTCAGTTCGAGTTCTTACTGTATACGTTCTAGTTGATGTATGCGTGCGCCGCTTCACATATTATTAGCACTAAGAGCTGAATAAAACAATGAATACTTGCCAACATGGACTGGTAGACGTGCACGCCCAAAGGAAATTTGTACAGGGTAGGGGAAATGCTACACATGAGTATGTAGTACTTAAAGCCCTGTCACACTGCAGCCACTCGGCCTGGGTTGAACTTGACTCGAGAAGGCCCAATGGCCAATTTGGGTTCGGTTTTATTCCACGTGTGGAATGTGTTTTGCCGCTATCTAGAAAACATGTTGTAACCTGCTTTTGTAAGCACGTCGGCCACTCTTGGCAAATACTTTTCAAAGCTTTCCAGCTTTTTTTTTTTTTTCACTTTTCTGATCATGAAAATGACATGTACAGCACTCAAGTACATGTACATATGCCAAAATAAAAGACGAGTTCAACTTGGGGCAAAATCAATCTCAGGGGTGAATCTAGCTTGGCCTCCAGTTTAAAAACTTTCCAGTGTGAAAGGTGGCAAGTTTCAGCCCTAGTGTCACCCCGGTATCCCCGATTCGCTCAGTGTGAAAAGGCCTTTAGCATGTTAAAGTACATTTTCAAAAAAGTCGACAGCTACCATACTACTGCTCTATGTGTTAAATGTCTCAAATCATGAATCCCATTTGCATTCCTCCAAGCACAAAAATTGCCCAATTGTGTCCATTTACATAAACTTTAGAAGTCACTACCTGTAACAAAGTGAAACAATGACATATCAGGTCAATATGCTATCAAAGGAACACTTGTACTGCATGTATAATGATGCACAATCAGAGGCAATACGTGGAGAGTAGTGATGATAAACAGAATGTTGACCCATGTGCAGAGGCCGGCCTGTATACAGAAATATAACTAAATACATCGGACAAAATGTGCAATGGGCAAACACTACTGAATTTGTTAAGAGTGGTTTCCCTCCAGAAAAAAATTGGCACATCCATGCACAGGGGAACGTAGTTATAACACGTTCCTTGGGAGTTAACAAATTACCTTGTTATAACAGATACCTTGTATTATCAGGAATAGATAAAGACTTCTGACCTAAAATTGCCCATGTTCTAAATATGACTTTCTATTGTCAGTGCTCTTCCTATCTGTGTTCGACTGTAATTCTAAAATTGCTTACAACTGATTTATCCTTTCAAGTTTCAGCTGAATACTCTTTGGAAATGTTAGAACCTAAACTCAATCACTGAAATTCTGTAAATGCTTAACACTCGGCAATGTTGGGATGTCTGGCTGAATACATCATTTGAAATTCTAAATCAAGTTCACTTGGACGAAAAACCACACTAATCCTGAGAAGGACAGATACATGTACTAGGCAGTGGTGTGCATTCACTGGATAAATTGATACATGCATGAACAGGTGTGTAGGAGAATAACTCAAGAATATAAAACCTCCATCCTGAGCTGTGGGAAAAAACACCTCGGTGAGCAGTGTAGTGGTGATCAGGTGACCACTGGCAGAGATCGGGGGGGGGGGAGATGGGATTTGACCTGGGGGATTACCAGTATAATCATCCCTCCGCACACACATTTTCAGTCACCGACTGTGTGCCATGCTGAAATTACCCCCCCCCCAACAAGAAATCTCTGCCCATGCAGGTGACCACCAGCAACCAACCAGTCACTAGGCTAGATGCATTAAGATTACCATGATATTGCATTATGGGCCAGAAACAGTCACACAACTTACCAAATTATACATGTGAACAACTGGCAGCAGTAAAGTAATCGTCGTGTCAATACACAGTGGACAAAATAATTCTTTATCATTGCACGTGACCACACAAATTATATACGAAAATCATTAAGTACAATAAAAGGCATTTGCCAACAATGAAGGTGTTAAATTTCAAACACCATAAATATCAAATCAGATTAAATCATTAGAATATACCTCACAAAACTGTTTCTTCAAAGTACTGAACACAAACCATATTGTAAATCAAGAACACATTACCACATCATAAGAGTGAAAAAAAAATTGAGCTGGAAAGGCTAATTCGGTTACAACAAATAAACCACCCCCAAAACATCATCATTAGAAAGTTGTGTATATTCCATATTTTTTTTCCCCACGACTCAAGTCAAACACCAGCGATGACATCAAGTCTAAACTCAAGCTCCCAGCTGTTTGTGCACCAGATGTTGACCCTTCCATTTACATCCAATCCCTATTTCTCTGAAGGAAGGCCCAGTTGATACGGACAGACTTGTATGACCACCAAGCCTGCCTCTCAACAAAACTGTCAAATCAACATAACAGTCTGCAAAGATCAACATCCCAGAACTTATGGGCTGCCTGGCACGAGCATACTATGCAGTCAGAATGCAAACACACAGGTGTACACTTCAATATCCTTTTTACAAGGCTAACTACATTTCATAGCTTACAACATGTACTAACATTAGTCTTTGCAGCTAGACAGAGTACTAAAGTGTGACATCACTGTGAACCAGAAAGTGGAGTGCAAACGAATGGAGTAGGCGTGCGTGTTGGTTCACGCGCTGGTTCTCGCACTAATGCCTTTTACACGCTAATTGTGCACGCGACGTATTCACTTTGGTACTCTATGATGGTGCTTCCGAACATTTAACAATAAAATGTTGCGCGTTGCCCCCTTTCAACTGTAGAGATTTTCATGCAAGGTGATGTCATTACTACACTCATTTTTTTTACAGTATCTACAAGTGGAAGGTGACCTGAGCTGGAAGCATTATTTTCCTCGGCAACAAAAGGTCAAACCACAGGTCACCAAGCCAGTCAAGACAATTGGTCGTAAGACTGCAACATGTCAACTTTGCCCCTCCTCAAAACACAGATTTGCATGCAAATGGCCATCCCTTCTAATTAAGCATGCACATGAATATTCAAATATTTGGCAGCCAATCAGCAGTAACTCCTGCTTACTGATTTCCCTTACTGACAAACATCAGCAGGATTCTATATATATATACACATATACATGTATATGCTATTTGCACATTATCCATGCCGGTCTGACTACATATTTATTATTTTAACGTTATTTACAATGGAAAGATCCTTTCCATGTTTCTTAAGTATACTACTTGAAGCTATGAAATGTCCCCGAAAAGTATTTTCCTACACTAAAGTTAAATTTGACAACCCAAACTTGCATTAGCTTTAGCAATATTTCAAATCCTTCAAGGTTCAACTTACGTGGACAGGAAATGTACAAATACAGGTGGAATTTCTGCAGGAAATAGTCAATTCAGTTTAAAAGGGAACATATTTCACAGAGGTTACTTAGTTTGTAACCCCTTTAATATAACATTTTGGTACAACAAATGAAGACAACCTTTGAAAACAGCCCACAGCTTGCTTCATGGTGCAATGCCTTCTCATATGATTTCAATACTTTTTTCTTTTAAATAGATACAAAATAAAGGTGACCCTTGTAAATACAACTACTCTTCTTTAGAACAGCTTTTAAAAAAATGAACAAAATGTGACGGGGTAAACTTTCTGACTTGCGCCTAACATTACCCACAATATACGGTGAACTGCAGAGGGGGTAAGGTCAGAGGTTGAAGGTCAAAGGTCCCAGCTAAAGAGGTGATGTTTGATCAGCATGTCTTGGACGCTGTCCTTCAGGGTTGCTGGCCTCTGCTGGGGGGACGAAACAACAAAGAGGCATCAGGCAATTTGAAAGTAGACAGGATAAATTCAAGGAGTAAACCCCGAAAAATGGTTGACCATCTCAAGTCTGTCCCATGCCCAATCATTTTCACTTGGCATGAATATGCTTGTAGACATTCATTTTAAGAACATGCGCAAGATTTCTACTGAATCTGACAATGGATTCTGTTGTGGTCATACATACTTCATGGCCTCCACCGTGCCAGCCTTCATGCATTGAGCATGTCAACAAGAAACGTCAACATTTTTGGCTGAGCTGTGTCAGAAAAATGGATGTTTCACGAGACTGGCATGTCCAATTTTCATAAAACTGGTGTCAAAATGATCATAATTTATGGCTAAATAAACACCTGAAGGCTTGGCATAGAACAAATGGAACTGGAACGATATCAGAGAAAATGTCTAGGGGAGATTCCACCCCCCCTCGGTTCTTATGGGGTTAATGAATAAAATGGATGCCCCACTCCAAGCTAATTCCAGTAACAAATTACTGTATTTCCTCCCTCTAGTTGCCTTTTGTCTCCTAGCGGCGACCAAGCAGAAAATGCTTCACAAAGTGCATATGCAGAGTGTTGGAAAATAAGCATGTGTATTCTAGAGGGCGCTGTTCGGTGTGCTACCACCTGCGCGACTCCTTTGTGGCTGCCATACTTTGAGGGATGAAAGTCTCAAATCCATTCTTATTTTCCCATAAAAGGGGGCATTTTTGCCTGACTGGCATAAGTGATACAGACAACTGTATAAGCCGTGCACCATCAAACAATTGCTGTTCCTGCCAATTGTTAACTGCTGTTCGCGAGCTGTTGGTGCTGAGTTATTGAACCTGGAGCTTGCATACACCTTGAAGTGAACGCTGTCCGGTGTGCTGTTCTTGATTTTCCTTATCCTTATCGGCCAGCAGTAAGATCTGCCCCTCCCCCACCTACACCAACAGAAGTAATTGATCGCAAGTGCCTAACAGCACTTGTTATAGAGTCAGTCTGTACCAAATAATGCACAACCTTGCGCCGGTAGTTTGACACTGAGCAAAAATATCAACCAAGAACTGTTCACAAGCACTGCATTTCCACTTGTAAGCTATTTGCTTAGTAAATATTTTGCGTGCTAAGCAAATTTCTGAGGTGGGCGCCTCCTTGAAATAGGGGCGGGTGACGACAACTACAGGCAAAAAAAGAACTTTGCGATGTTCTTACTCCGATTCTGGGAAGTCCTTTCTTTTGCGGTATCTCCCAGTCTTGGGACAGGTTGAAGGCAAACTGCGACAGGATGCGCAGCTCGCACTTGATCTGTACCCAGCCGGGACTGCGCATGAAGGACCAAGGATAGTACCACTTCTCAATGATCTTCTCGCAGGAGCACAGGCACTCCAGCCACAGGTGCAGAACTTGCTCGCTGGGTAGAGGCAGAGTGAAGAACGATAAATCAAATTAGACTTTTTCAAGGCCTGAAGTATGATAAACCATTATGCAAGATATCGATGGGAATGGGGCCGGCTCCAAAAGTGGACTGACTCACAAGTGGTGTGTTTGAGTCTTCATGAGTTGATTCAGATTCAACCTTGTGCCCACAGTCTCCCTTCTTTGACACAGCACACACGGGCATTCCGAGGTTGGAGTTGCCCTGTGGCAACTACTCAAAAGCACCCATAGCTGAAAGTGGTCTTGTTACTTGATAAAAAGAATACTTTGAAAAAGAAAACCTTTTTTTGCCTAATTTTGCTCAAATTTCCCCCCTCCCCTTAGGACCTGCCTTTGTGTCAGGTCAAAAGAGATGCAGAAATGACAACAGAGTTTCATTTCAGGGGTTTCCTCAAGTTTTGTGAGCAACCACTGTAAAGTTGCTCAGCACTTGATCTTGTTCTGGAGAGCATAACAATCTGCAATGTGCACTTTAATTCCTTGTCCTTTCATGTACACGATCTGATTTTGACAGCTGAGGAAAAAAACACAAGAACACTTTGAAAAATTTGAGAAGTCAATCAAGAAATACACAATATGAAACACTGAAAAGGGTTGACTCTTCACATTAAAAAACTCACAAATTTGGTACAATTAATTCAACACTAAAACATTTCATACATGCACTTCTAAATCTGACCTACTTCAAAGACAGATCCTAAAAAGTAGAATCAACCCTTTTTAAGAATTCCAGCAGGCTATTATCGGCCTGCCCTTTTCCAAATGGAATCAGCACAGGGCACTCTGTACAAAAAGATATGAGCACTGCATACTACATCCCACTCACTTCAGTCCTTGACAGATGAGAGAGCGGAGTTTGACATCCATCTGAGCGTGGGCCGAGTCGTGGGTTAGATTGACTGACTGGACGGATCTGTACAGCAGCTCTTCAGGCGTCAGGACTTTGCCGTCTTCGTCCAGGCGGTAGGTCTTGCACAGCACCAGGCGGGAGTAGACCGACTCAAAGTCCTTCTCCACCTCTTTGCAACTTGCCTGGCGGACAGGATCAATCAAATCACTGAGGGTTCAACTGTGTAGCTAGTGTGGCAACTGCAGGTTTACGCTGGATGACACGGTTGGCTCTCGAATGATTAAATTGTGGGGAGAATACAATCTGGTCCATGCAAATGGCCTTCCTTAAGACCAGTGGGTACTTCAGACAAGTGCAAAGGAAGCAGATTAAATGTCACAAATCTTTGCATAGAAATTTCCTGGGCATGAAACATATACATCTGGCATCATACAAACCAGCATCTAAGGTCTTAAATTTAGCGATATCAAATATGGCGTGAAGACATGTTGCAAAGGTCCTTGTGATACTAAGTTAACTTTACTCAGTAATCCAAACCAAATGAAGAACTCTCACAAGAAAATGGCTAAAAGTTTCCACCTGATTTGTGTCAACTAAAATCGGCAGCACAGATTTGCAGAAAAACCGGGACTGGAAAAGAGTATACAGGCATTCGGCTGATCTTGTAGAGGCTATTTATCATGAATACATGGAGAAGACACAAGACAGAAACACGCACAATGCCAGTTACCCAAATCGAGTGGTAAAACCTGGTTTAACTTCATGCAAATTTGTTGGGATAGTGGTGATTAAACTAATGCCACTGATATTACAATCAAACTACCGTCACTGACACCAGCTTTGGTGTCACTCTTGCAGGAAGCAATTGCGAATTGGCCTTGATACTGCAGTTTTCACTGTGGAATGGAAATGACACAGTGGCTACAATGTGGCACGGTTGATGTTCTTCTCAGTTACCAACCTCTTCAATGAACAGCCAAGGATGGCAGGGCCCACCCAAGATTGAAGGCTGCTTCAAGCCATGCTCAAATAGACTCTTCAAAGTTGGACACAACCTGAGAAAAAAGTATAACATCTCACAATCAATAATGTTGTTGCGCATGGATTGATATCGGCCAAGCAATAAAAAATGAAGAGAACTAAACACAGATTTGAACAAAGAATGTTCAACTGTGTAGTTACTGGTTCATTCTCTGAACACACAGATGTGAATTTAACAAACAAGTTCCCAATTAGAAGTATTTGGTTCACTAATACAAATGCTGTGATATTTTTATCATTATTACACTCCCTAATGCAATGTGCAACACTATTTTTGAAATGATCTTCAGCCTCTTCCGCACTCCATATCATAATTCCTTTTGGTCTGAACTGATTATAAAAAGGCTCAAAGCTGGTGGATCTTCAAGGAGAAATCAATGGAAGGTGAAGGAGAAGAAAGTACAAACCTCGTACAAAGTCTGAAAAAAAAATGAGTTCAAACTGCCCAGGTTGGGGGTCAGACTGACTAGGAACATGACAAAAGTTGGTCTGGTATCAAACATGCTTGTACGAGCACTCCGGTACTGGCACTAGTTGAACAATAAAGCCCCTGACTGAAGCTGAGCACATTTCAACAAGTGCACATATTAAACGCAACTATGCAAAATGCTGCTGAAAGCCAAACGCGTCATGAGATGGGAGCGAGTACTTCGGCACCGATGGACAAATAGGACAAAAAACTAACAGGTGCACGGGAAAGTCGCATATGTTGTGACTGTTTGGGTAGGTACAATGCCACAGACCCAAGTTTTTCTCAACCTTGGCTTCAACTCAGCATGTTTTAATTCCAACATGGACATCAGGGACACTTGAGATCACACTTTAACCATCTTTGCTGAAAATTAGATGCACTCACGTTCCCCTGACGAGGTCTGTGATGGTTTCGGTGACTGAATCGTCCCCAGCGCTTGTGTACTGCTTACTCCGCTCGTCCAGAAGCTCCACAAACTTGGCAGGAAACCAACCTGATAAAAAAAGTGGCAGTCTCACAATCTATTTTCAAAAAGAAGCGAATGGGAGCAACGTTGCTGTGTGGGATACAACCTCTTCCATTCTAGGGGGATCACAAGGTAGTTGAGTTAGGTTTTTTTCACAAAATATTACAACAGTGATGAATTGATGAGAATGCGGGGTCGCAGGATAATTTTGTTACCTCTGAGGCCATTCAGTTCACCAACCCAGCAATGTTCATCCTTCTGAGAGATAATCTACAAGACAAGCATACCGCATGAAACAGTACAAAAACAAAGCTTTGGAAATTCAAGAAATTACTTTCAACAGACGTTTTTTCATGATTTAAAAGCACATATCAATTCTAAAAACCTTCAAAACTTCAGTGCTTTGGAAAACAGGTTAATACTTTTACAAAATGCAGTAGACAATAACGAGGGTTTTGGAACACAGTTACGAGACAGTCAAGACTCACTGTGATGATGTCATTTTTGCGGAAGCCAAGCTCGTCGTCGTCATGTCTCTCAAAGTCCAGCAGGGCCTTGGCCCTCCGTCTCCGGTTCCTCGTCACGTTGACAAACTGCTCGTGGTCCTTCTGGTGACTCTCCAGCGAGTAGTCTGGCACCAGGGACTGTACAAGTCCAAAAAAAAAACACCTGTTGTGAGCTTTGTATTGAAACAGCTATCTAGACATCGTTACAGCCATCATTTATGTCTGGTTCCTAAGGGAACAGAAACTTTCACACCAGTCATTAACAGCAAGACTGAAAGTATCTTTTTCCAATTAGCCTAGGGGAATATTCAATCACTTTTGGAAGAAACGATTAACTGACATACGGGCGTTTCACAATAGTGCGCCTCCGGGAGTTTGTAACGCCTTGGCCAATTGCGATGTGCAAAATCTGTCTACCCAATGCATGTTTGAAGAGGGTTGACAGACTTCTCACGTTGTGATTGGCCAACGTGTGGCAAACTCTTGGAGGTGCACTCTTAAGAATCGCCCGTATTGTTTTCAACACTACCTTTGTTTCAAGTGTTTCAAGGGCCTGACCCACTCAACTCAAGGAACGTTTCATTTGTTGTCTTCTTTTCTTTTCAACTAACGAGTTGGTATAATTATCTCAGCACAGTATTCACTGGCCTCAATTAAAGAGAAAAACACCAGGGAAAGATTTCTGGAGACTACTCATCCTGAAAAGCCAAGTGATCCAAGAATATATTTATCCTCTTCCTTCAATAAGCATGCATCATACACCACCACAAGCTACAAACAATTGGGAAGCAATGAAGACGGGGTATTCTGCCGAAATTGTAAATTCCATTTAAGGGGCGTCAGAAGGATTTCCCGACCCAGCACACGGCCAATATCTGCTACTGCTCGGTTCCCGTGAAGAGCAAACGGCCAGGGTGTGAAACATGCAAAGAGCTCACCATTTTAGCATTCTTGGGATCGATGGACTGGAAATGGCGACCGATCTGGAGGATGGACTCCCTCAGGTCTGAGACGAGCTCAGTCTGCCGGATGTTCTTGGCTTTTAGGTCCTCACTCTCGTTCAAGCCTGGTTGAAGATGACGATAGGGAAGTGAGCCAAGATGTGAGAGCATGCTCGGTCTAAGGGAGAAGACTCGCTGCTCGTACTTACAAGAAAACCAGTCCGTGTTTGTACTCGAAGGATTTCTTGTACTCGTGTTCAAAAGGCGACAATATTCCCATGCGTAGCCTCTCAAGAGAGTAATTTCTATCTTTGTACCAGCAGCAAGTCATCCCTAACTTTACTTGCACCAAGAAAGTCTGGTACCTATCCTTTCAGAATTTCCTAAAAGAGAAAAATCCCTGTACTAAGAGCCTATGCATGAAAAATATTACTGAGCTCACATAGGCAAGGCAAAACCCTCCGAGCACGTGACAAAGTGTATACGATCTTTCACTTACTTCAACATCTAGGCATAATGTATACACTCCAAATTCTGTACACCCACAATACTCAATGGGTATGCATCCATCCCTTGAAACTCTTGACAGTAAATCTGCCTTATTAAAAAATAATTTACCACAATGGCGTGGACGAACTGACACCCTTGGCAGTGATCAAATATCTGAAGTTTGCAACAATGCATAACCCAAAGCAATGCATCACGTAAACTTCTATGACTTCCCTTCCATGACTATCCCAGTTCCGGAAGGGGGACTGTTTCAGAAAACATTTTGTCAACACTCACCGAAGAGACTACCCATAAAAGACTTTTTCCTGTGTAGCTGGCGTTTGTGTATGTGCTGAAAAGTAAAGAGAGAATGAACATGAAACTCTTGTAGGGCTGAGTCAATTCGAATAATTCACTATTCGAATATTCGACCTTCAGTTTGATTGAATATCCGAATATTCGGTTGCACCGACCAGCAGATTGTTGATAACCATACACAAAATCAGTTGCAATAACGCACCACAATAGTACATTATGATCAATATAATAGCTTCTAGGAGTATCTCCAGCCTCGATTTAGCAAAATTGAAGAGATGAACAAGACTTCTTGCCCTGTTGAAGATTTCTATTCCTTTAAATTGTTTCATGACTAATTTACTTTTTAATCGTTGTAAGATTTCTGATGCTTTTCATTTGAATCTGCTTGAAACAAGCCTCCATGGAATAACTTTTCTCATTTAAACAAAAGAAAATTTTCCCTTTTTCATGAATTTTGCTTTCAAATATTCAAATTTGAAAAATAATATTCGAATATTCGACAACTGGTCAAATATTCAGTTTCTCAGACTTTCGGCACAGCCCTAAACTCTTGACCACTAGGAAAACAAGCAATGGATTTCATTTTAGTGGGGTTAGATAAATACTGCTCTTTTCGATAATCCTCCTCATTATAGACAAAGAAAGATTCCAAACTCGGACCTCATTTAAAACTACAAAATGCTAATGGCAGTAAGTACCCTGGCTGCTACCATAATTAACTTTGATATCAAAGTCAAAGGGATCAGGGAAGTTTTTCATAGTATGTGGTTCTCCTTAAAAAAGGTCTTCAGAAGCAGTTCAGAAATTAAAGGATCTTAATCATCAAAATGAACAGGAGGACCCAGTAATTTCATCAATGATTCAAGCAGACAGGAACCAACCTGCTTTGGTAAGTTCCCGGTATTCTCCGGGTTGACAATCGCCCCTTGCTCTGCCATCAAGTAGGCCAGGTGCTTCCGTCGGTGGGTGTCAACGATGATGTCCGTCAAGGAGGCCGAGTGCTTCATTCCCACCTGAAGGTAACACCAAAAACCATAAATGAGGTTCTTCATGACCAAAATAGGCTTGAATCTCACAGATATACTGAAAAAATTTATCCTTTAGAAAAATAACTTCATCTTTTTTAAATTTAAAAGAATCAAGAAAATTTGGGGCTCACAAGACTTTTCAGTACAGCAAACAGAGAGCGCAAGTCGGCCTTTACACGAAAAAAGTCTCAAGGGAAAATTGAATATTTGAGATTTGCTACATTCTGAAATGGTGTGATCTTACATTCCACTGAAACTGTATTGACAGCAAGGGAAGACTTTCTTGTACACAAAATGGCATCAGGGTTAATGTGGATATATGGTGGAAGAAGTGATCAGGGTGGGTGGCATGCAACAAGCAGGGTAAAAAAAACATGCCAGTGTCATTAAAACTTAGTAAGACATTTTAAAAAGCTCCTCTGTAACAAAGAAGTTGTAATGAAAGGACTTCGTGTTGTTTGATTCGATACCGGTGTGAGAAGGAAGAAGAAGCCTGGTTTATACCATGCTAAAAAAAAGCAAAGGGGAATTTTCACAGTGTCAACTGAAACTTGTCATTGACATGTCTGGCATGACCCGAGTTAATCCGCCTCACTCTCATGATCCAAAGATGTATGGGCCAGGCTTGGAATCTTTCATTTGTGACACAAGTACCTTTTTAAAGAATTGTGGCAAAAACATACATGCGACACAGTTTTCTGTCATAATGGAGGCTTTGGCCGAATGAATTCATGATCTCTGTCACTACTTTCCCTTAGTACATGCACCTTTGCTGTAGTCTCTAAAAACCCCATATTAGGTGGCAACCGTTTTACAAGGCACCCCTGTAAGGTGGCACCCAGAGCTGTAGATTGAGAGAGTAGCGTCAACTTCAGACTTTGGAGCCAAAATGCTGTCCATTATGTGTGACCCGCAGCAAGCAGCTATTGTGTGCTAATTGTCCATGTGCACTGATGAATAATATAGCATTTTGATTCCAACTGAGACACTCTTGTCACAACTCTCTCTACAAGCAGCTCTGGTGGCACTCTTCTGAGGTGGTCCCCCTGTAAGGCGGCAAATCATGTAAGACACCCCTAAAATGAACACTATAGGTACACTGTGCCCACATAGATGTTTAAATGGCCTCTGTGCACAAACACAAAATGTTGTTGATGGGCCTGACCACGACTTCCCACTTGAATCACTTTTGATGAATGAGGCCAGCTTCAGCCTTACTTCAGCCTTCAAATAGTTTCTTTTTGGAAGGACAGTAACGCACCACAGATTTGTCACGGGGGAGGGGGCTCAAATGGAAATTTACCCCCAAAGCAGCTCCAGATGGTCAAACCCCCCTCCCCAGTTGCAGCACAGGTGACTGTGGGTGTACACTGTATCTTCGTTTTTCAAAGAAGAAAAAAACAGAGTTGGCGGGAGGCTTAAATCCCCAGCCCCCCCCCTTGGGTGAACCACTCTGGAAGGACATGCAGACAGCAGTTAATATCTTAAGATAACAATCAACATACTTCTAGATACAACAGGGTAGGGAAGGGGATTATGAATTTGAGGAACAAGCATTCTAAACTTGCAAAGCACACCTGGGGGAAAAAATTGCATGCCTGCCTGGAGCACAAACGTGTACACCTTTGATAAACAACGGGCAGGTTACATACTGTATAAGCAGGGACACTCAATCACTTTCCCATGCAATGCAGCATGGGGCAAAACACAGAGTCAAAACATTTCTGTCATTCGTGGCTTCTACGGGGGGGGGGTGAAGGTCTAACTGAATGATAGGGATTCTAGCAAGTCTATCTACCTAACAGACTATTTGCAATACTTCTGAAAACCAAATGGCGTTGGATTTTCATCCTCCCGCCAAGTACCGACCCAATGGTTAATGTTCGGGCCAGTTTGTTTCATGCAGATCCAGATCAGGATCAGTGATTCGTCGTTGGTTCACTGACACCAGAACCTGCCTCATGGATTGAGCAAACCTGCGATAGGATCACCAATTGAGATCCAGACCAGGGTGAAACAAACTGGCCCTATGGCTTTCATTTTAAACAACTTGGTTATCATTCAGGGTTAGCACGAAGACTAAAAACTGACAGCTATTGGTTACAAATTGATTGATTGTGGCCATAATTAAACATCCCTGCTGCTGGCAAAACAAAGCCCCACCTGCTGCTTAACTCATTCGGTTGTTCATCAGAACACACCGTCACATCTGGCAACAGGCAAGTTTTAGATATAATTACACATGTAACTTTATACCTATGTTAATGACATGCAACCACTGTACATCTGTGTCAGTGTAATACATTACATGCCTCCGAATGTTCCACAAAGCATTACACTACTGCTGCTGTAAAAAGGTTGAACACAGAAAAATCTAAGTCTGGACTCCAAATGCCCCAATGTGGAATGCAGCAACATTTTCTTTTTTAAGGAACCAGAAATAAGGCTTGACTGGCAGCAAGCAAGCTTTCTTATGCTGTGGTAATCGTTCACACAATGTGTACATGTAGCATTAAACTATATTATTTGCATGCAGACGATTTAGACAGTACACCATATTAGCTGCAGTATAAATCATACTGACGCAATGTGCTTGAAGAATTAAAGGCAGTGTACATTTTGAAAAATTGTTTGTGGGAAAACAAGCAACCTGGTATTCTGGGGAACACTACAATAAATGGGAAACCAAAAGGCAATAGGCTGCAATGTCATGTGTGTTTAGTATTCTCCTGATCACTAGTCAGGGGTGGGAGAATGCACGAGGAGTGGGGAAGGTGTGGAGGGGAATCAGGCACTGGGCCAACTGAAAGTCTTGAACTGAACTGAAAGTTCTGCATGTTGGCATGGAGAGAGGACGCACATGCATCTTCTGGTCCCACGCTTGTGGGGGGGGTGGCTGGGGGAGATGGTATTTACACAGTTCGCAACATGGAGGTTGGACAATAGAGGATTTGCATGGTGGCCATCTTGCAGGGCGGTTCTTTTGTTCCACAAGGGAAACCTCCTTTGTGCATACCCTGTGGAACAACAGCACTAGCCTGCAAGATGGCAGCCATGCAAACCCTCTATAGCAATGACAGGGAGTTTGAATTCATATCTAAGCTCACAGAAGGTCTGAAGGGTAAGTTGTTCTCTTCACTACACAATGCCAAACCACAAGCTACCCACTTCATCACTTCATTTTCTTATCACTGAGTTTTGAAGTTCTCTCCACATGCTAATCGCTATTGTACGGATGCAGGGAACATGCAAAACCATGCCATGATGTACCTGCTGGCCTTCGGCTGAATCTACATCTAAAGGTACAGACAGCTAGCCAATCGAAAATACACACATTACACTTTTGCATGAATATACATGTAAACAAAAGGCAAATAAAAAATCGTGTATCTAACGGCCACAGTCATCTTCGTCATATCTCCAATTTTACAGTTGTTATTGGCAAAAGCGGATTTTTTTTTGAGAATGCTAATTTCACACGTGTCCAGAATTCATCCATTCCCACACCACAATCTGCAAATCTTTAAAAGGATGAGATGGCATGGGCCAGCTCTTGTTGTTTTGCATGGGACGTGATTTTTATGAAGTCCCACAGCAATGTGTCCCCCAGTAGTACTGCACTGTTAAAAAAGTTTGGCAGACTGTGACAAATTCTTATAGCTAAAATAAAACACAAGAAATGCTCAGGACTTTGAGGTTAATGCCAAACTTTTCAATGCAATAATGAAATATTCTTCTCAATCAATGCAAAAGTTTAGTTATCGCAAAAAGGGAAAAACTATTAGTATTGCATTTTGTTACATGTAAATATCTGAGCATGCATTTTTCAAGATTAGCGTGTAAGTTGTCTTCAGTAGTCAGAAGATGCATGCTGAAGAAAACTCTTTACCTTTTTCTTCCAATTTAAGTGCGAATAATTGGCTTTAAGCAACCAACACACTCAACCAAAATGTCTAATTGACATAGAAAAAAGAGAGAGCAGACAGTAACTACATGTACATTTATATAGAGGATATGAACCACACAAAAACTGACACCTGGACTATCAAAAGTGATACACAATGAACTGACCTCGCAGGCCTATAATGCAAACGTCAATCGTTGCAATAAAAGAAATCAGAATGTCCATTTCATTATTTAAACTTCTACTACAATTACAAATCGTCACGTCGGTGCAACAAGGTCGTATCTGATATACAAAATAAATGTGTTACAACCTTGTTGCATTGACACAAGAAAAGTTGGAAAAACATAGCACTTATCGACTCAGAAGAATTCATACAATGATCAAATGCAATCAGAAATTACCCCAAACAAATAAGGCATTAGTTCAGAAAGGCCTTTGGTCTCCAAACAAAATCTCTCTCCAGATTATACAAAGAATATAAAATACACCACTTAGCACCATGTTGAGAAAAGAGATGTGTTCCAGTGTTTGGCGCAAGTTGGATTTTCCCTAACAACAAGCATTTGGGGCTTTGATAGCCACAAAAATGCCACCCTTGTGAATTTTCAAAGATGCATAACACTTCAAACTCTTCAAATAAAACTTGCAGGACAGTTTTGTAGAAATTGTAATTGTGGTTTGACAATGCAAGGAACAACCAACAGCCTCACAACAAAGAACACACCACAAACATGTAAATGCTCAAACAAATATGATCAGTGGACTCCACTGAACAAATAAACTTTTCGAAGACAAACCAAAGCACGATACACGTAACAAAATGGAACTTGACAACAGTTCTCTTTTTTTTATGTTTAAAGAGTAGTGTTTCCACTTTGCAATCTCCATACTGCCAAGTCGCACCTCACTGGTTCTCAATGCCCTGTGTCACAAGCCCGTGTGTATATGAAAGGGCAAAACAGACCACTTGTCTTCGGGAAGTGACCCACATTGAAATACATGTCCATGATGTATTCAGCGAATTGCCTGTTGTATGGATTATCTCGAACACCCTTCCTCAGGGCAACGACCTTAATGACAAATGTTAGATATATACCTTGTACATGCCCTTGTGGGGAAGATTCTTAATGCTATGGAGACCTACACATTGAAGGTACGGTCCATCATTTGTCATTTGTGCATTACGTTTCTGTGAGGCAACAAAATACTCGAGATCTGCAGAAGGGTGTATGAGAACAAATCTTGTGAAATTTCAGCCCAGTAAATACTGCACATTCCCAGAAAAGACAATATTCTAGGATTTGGATTTCAGATCAAAAGTTGCCTAGTCGTATTTTGAACTGCACCTCAATTCAGCATCTGGGACACATTCTCGCATCCAGTTGAAGGCAGCTAAGTGATGTCATGCACTGAACCGCCCGATTACAGTAACAGCACTCATGTGTGCCGTGTCCAGGCTTGCACGTACTTCTGACAATGTTCGAATGCGCGTTGTTAGAAATGGCCTTCTTTCACTGGTTTCTTCAAAATGAAAGCTTGCTAGAGAAAATAATTACACAGGAAGTTTCGTCCCATAACAATCTTTACACCAAGTATGGTTTTCAACAATAATTTTGTCAGTTCCTTTTGGGATAACTGCAAATGATGGACTGTGATTTTAAGTTACAGTGGGTCTCGTATAACAGCGGTTCTAAGAACTAGTGACTATTGTGTGCACAATGTGCTCAGGAAAAATGTACACAAAATTGAATGTGCACATTTCATTTACAAGAGTTCGTGTTTGTCGACGTTGTAAAACTCAAACCCTGTGATTTGTATAGTAAGACTCATAGCATGGTTTACAATGCCATTCATTAACACAAAGACATATTTGGAACAGAAGCATCATACACCCCTCGTTTTCTTTCATCCCCCCCAAAAAATAGCATCTCCAGGAAATTCCCATTCATAAGGCATGCAAGTACCTTAGGATATCCATGGCTAACTGTGGAACTTTGGCAAATCACTGGAGTACGAATTTACTGAATACAGTTGATCTACTGTACATGTACGTGGGCACAATCAAGTCTATGCGCAAACCCGAGGGAGAAAACGTCTGCACCGGATCTTGCTGATCAGGACAGGGAGGTATCCTGCTTGGCAATTAAACACCACTATTTTTTTTTTTACACCAGTGGTAGCACTGACCCTGGGGGGAGAGAAACACAAGTTGGTTGGTCCGTCCACCATCCTGCTACCATATGCCCGATACCTTCACTAACCCAGCTACCAGTATCACCACTCTTCACCTTCATCTCATTATCAAGTGAGGGCGCTTTCCAACAGCACTAGTGATAAGCGGCAAGCAACACATTAAAATCTTCACCTGAACATTCACATGTTTTTTTTTTCAGCAATTTGGAATCTTAATTTTGTTCAATAAGAACTTGGTTGAAATATTGTTAGTTGTGGACAACAAATTGGATAATTGCATTATTAATCTCGAAACAATGTTGTAAAGTAACGAGCATTCAAAAGCAATGTAATGAAAACTTGTGAGGATCAACAAATGAACCAACGCAAACATGAAGATGGCTTGTGTTGTAGAAGTAAATTATAACAAGCTCTCAGCAATTGCTTTCATCAATCGTCAGTTGCATGTACGTTGTTCAAAATGGAAGGAGAACTTTTGTTGAAAAGTCAAATCTTAACATAATATTAATTCAACATGGCAGGCAAAACCAAAAGATATTTGACAATACCCAAGTTCCATGAGAGTTTCAGCCAACTAAAACGTGCAAAAAAAATTTTTTAAATGCACTGACAACCCGCACTGTATATGGAAGTCCGAAAATCTAGCCTTCTTGTCCTTTAGCGAAATAAAAAATTCGGACAAACAAAAGCTCCGCTTAGACAAAAACATCCAAGGAAAACTAAAACACTGTGCGTGCAGTTGATTAGCATTCCCTCACTTGCCAACGAGTTGCAAACCTCATCAACCGTCCTTGATGCTTTCACCTTTAACCCCCAATGAGGACAGACGCAATGACTGGTGATGGTGGGGGGCAAGGTTGGTAATCTGGCACTTACCCCGCAGAGTAGACAAGTCGTGTTCATACACCACGGTATGACAATGGATATGGCATCAAACTGCTGCAGGGTCACGGATAGGACATATAACGTAGAGTTACTGAGGTATCATCAGGAGGGTTGGAGAGTGTCCAAACCTCATTCCCTCACTCCCTCCCTCTCCATCCCAAGACAAAAATCGGAAAAAAAACTCTTTCTGATTTACACAGAATTTTCAACGGCGATGTACAGAGTCCCTTGTATTACTACTATCATACAGCATTGGTCGCTTGTAATTCACAAGCACTGGCTTTTCTGCACTACAGAACATAGAGTGCTGTACTTGGACGGGTAACAAGCTGGCATGTATACTTGAAACTGCATGCTACCCGTTCGCACCGTTAAAACACGACAGCTGCATACTGTGGCCTGTGTGTGCATGCGTGACTTGGTCAATGGTCACAGATTATAAATCCACACAGCGTAGAGAATAACCGATGACAGTTGACCCACAGTGCCATCGTCATTCCTCAGACGAGGCCGGTCGCATGACCAATGCCTAAAGCTATTCCAAAATACCCCAAAACATCCACAGTTATACTCACACTATCACTAGCCCGAGCATAATCATTGCAAGATATGCGAGAATGTTCAACGCTAGGCATTGCCTTGCATGTGTGTACTAGTTCACGTACGGTACCTGTTGATAGCAGACTGGGACAAGTGGCTGCTTGTGCTGTACCATTGTCTTTCTAGATGGCATGGCAGATGCCATACAGAACAAATTCCCACGTACGACGTCCCACATACAGAATTGTATCCAACTCCACTAATTGCAATAACACGCCATTAAAATAATAGAACTGGTGCTATGCATTATCGCCTCAATATGCCTTGGTTGTCCACGTGGCCAGGAATAGCATTAAAATACTGTGGGATTATTCTAAAGTAACAGGTCAGGGCAAGGTGTATTTTTGTGAAGATAACACAAAATAAATTATATCTAAATGATAATTAGGTGATATTTATTCAAATAATGTCATGTGTTGTATACCTATGATACAAATATGAGCTAATATTTTCAAGAACTGTCAACACCCCCGCTCATGAATGGTACCAGCTTAATTTGCATAATCCATGAGCCATCTGTTTGCTTAAAAGCAAGCAGCAGCCAGCCAAATCAGCCTGTGACGTCATCCACACCACCAAGTGCAACAGATGTCGTCACATAATGTGCATTTACTGAGAGCAACTGCCTGCACTGAACACAAACAGTGCCCTCTGTCAGTGAATGACTGCACTGAAGTCTCCACTCAGCGCTGAATTTACTTATTTATTTTATGTTCTTCAGTTAACTCATTACTTTTTATTCAGCATGGGAGTTTTAGTAAAATAGTTCTGTCCTCACTCAACAAACCACCAATAATGGTTGCTGGTTATGTCCAAATGCAGACAGGGTAAAAGGCTGATTCATACTAAATAGAATAATTTTTAAATAACTAAGGACCCTTATTGTTAAATGTATTTGAAACTGTACACTACTGGTTCATCTTTCCAGCTTAAGCAAGATTATTTGAGAACTGCAAACTAACACCTGTAAAATGTTTTACCACTGAGGGCGGGTAAGCATATATTTCCCACCCAAATCATGAAGTTTTGGAGGCATTTACAGGGTTTCGGGTATAGCTTAGCTAACCCCTTTGACTTCGGACTTTATACCCCAATGAAAATTTGAGTCTTCAGAATGTGCCACTGTCTTCATGCAGAAGGGCAGATCTAATAGGACTGAGACTGGTTCCCAGCAAAAGCTGGTTAGCAAGCTGGGGTTAAAGACTCCTTTGAATATCATCACAGGAACGTGTGGCATGCAGATCAAGAGATATACCATTCCCGAGTTCAACCAAAATTGCGTTGGGGAAATAATGCCCGTTCGGTACGAAGAAATTAGCCTGCCACCACCAACAATGAAACCAAACCACCAAAATCCTCTGGTCATCAATTTCAATTTAGTTTTGGAATCATACTTCTAATAAATGTGGAGAGTGGAAAAAACATTAGAAAAACTTTTTGTACTAGCTGAAACTGTTCACACACCATGACCTACCATGAATATTAAAAACGTCCCACCTGACATTTATTTGCTAAACACTGACAAGGAATTGGGTTAATTAAAATATCCCAACAATCAACAGTTATCACTCGAATGAAACCATAATAAACCAGAAAATAGAAGGAAGTACACACCTCTATCAGCTTGTCTACATCTTCCATTTCTCCTGGTAGGTCGGACAAAGCATTGAATATCTGAGCGGAATTCTCCAACCTCAAAAGTTCTTCTTCCTAAAAAATGTCAAGCACACAAAGCCAAGTTAAGATCCTGTTTATGTTTGAGTAATGCTGCAACTCCGCTATGTATTCGGGCAACCTTTAACCAATGACAGTGATGTGTTCACTTCGCCAGCCTCTCTCATATTTCAACTCTCGCTTGTTGCTTTCTGACAAGGTTCCTCCCAAGCCATGACTTTGCTTTCCATTTCGACTTGCGGCCTGTGCGAAATGTCAAAACACCCTGCCACGGACCTTGAGTTTAAACATGGCCAGCGTGACTTGGAAGAGAATGATGGAGCCCTCGTAGAAGAACATGTCCCAGATGCGCAGCAGCACCCTGATGTGAACCACGCTGGCAAAAACCGTCAGGAACCAGTGGAGTGTGATCAGCGACAGCTCTGAGAGGTAAAAAAGAAACTTGGGTGAAAAAACGATGGCAACTCTTAACAACACTGTCACAGCTAGAAGAGTTGAAGAGAAATTAACAACAGTGAAGCACTGGATCAATTCTTCTTCTTCTTTTAACAATGCTGATGCCATCAAACAGCAGTGCCCATCCCTAAGCTCTTAAAATTTACCAGGAGCCAAGCCACTTTTACTTAACCAAAAGTCCCTTAAAAGTAACTGCACAAAGCATGTATCACTGTACCTCAATAACTCCCACTAGCCGTAAGTGTTATTTCCACAAGAGGTTCTACGTAGCTACATTCATGTATTTTCAAGATTTATTTTGCGTTGGGGAGATGTTAATTCATATAACGGGTTTTGCCCTTACCCAACGTATATATTAATAAACACTGTATGCTCAGTGCTTGTCCGAGAGCT